AATTAATTGTTGAAGTTTGTGCATTTTTATCCGGTTTTAAAGTGGTCGGACACTTTTGACCGGGGAGTGTACATGTAATTCGAAAGAAGCTGCTATTCGTTATTCACGTGTATTCTCAATCCGGTGGTTAAGCGAAAAAGTCTAGACAGACCAATACATTATTCATCGCTCTTTTTACGATCTTTAAACTTTCGAAAAAAGAAATAACTAAATGACATTGATCTGGATATGAATCATTTTCCTATTTCTATCGGGTGAGTAACTTTGATTAGTTAAAATTGGAGTAAAGAATATTATTGAAAACAAATTTTGACGATGTTATTACAGGGCAAACGAATTATTCTGTTAAGAAAACAAGCTGTTTGAAGAAAAATAATTAACTAAAATTATTTTAGCTCTTATCTAACTGCATCTCAGCTTTTATTTCTTTTTGTGGCGTATTGAAATCGATAGCCTTTATTTCTTTTATGCTTAGCAAAATTAAAGGCTTTAATGCTTTGGTCATACAAAGTTTCCTGACTCTTTTGATATTGAATTTTGTTACTGTGATTATTGTTTAGGATAGTTATGTTGTGTTGGATATTGATTGCATTAGTAAATTTTTTTTAATTCAAATTATTATTTTGGACTCTACTATTTGCCTTGGATTGCATAATCTTCGTTGAAGATTGTCATCTTTAGAATCCCAGCTAATTCCAATTCGTGTAAATCATTCAGTCTAGCCCTTGACCTTTGTTGCATCTACAATTCTTCAGTTAAACTAACTTTATAATTGAGAGTAACGTAATCAGATCCGATCTGAATGATTTGGAAGGATAAGAGATTTGAAGTAGATATGATGTATATGAATATTTTCCGGTTGATTAAACATTATACTTTTCCTATCAATAACTTCTATAAATAAACGATCTTTTTAAAAATAGAATTAAAATCAAATAAAGTATCAACTTAAGTGATATTTCAAATATCAAATAACTTTCGTATGACATTTTTCACAATTTGACGCATCGAAATATTGATAGTTGACGCACGCGTAATTTTTACGAGCGTTTGAGCACGTTACTCTAAAGGTTTTACGATATACGAGATCGTTGTCTTTTTAGAAAAATTTTAAAAAGTTCCCTAATCATAAGATATTTCTTTTATTTAAATTCTCTAAATATTTCTGATGCAAAGTGCTAAAATGCAGCAATACATGTGTTTAATATTTACTTAAATAATGAGAGTTAAATTCTCAAGAACTAAAAGTAGTTCAAAAAATCAAACATGATTAATTAATGATTCTCTCAAAAATAACAGATACACATTATATTTACAATATAACAAGAAAGCGCAGTCGACAACATTATCTTTGTTTGCTCTCGTATTTAGAAGATAATCGTTTATCATGGTATAAAACTCCTTAATGTTTAATACATGTAATATGTATTACGCCTATTAATAATTTAATTACAGTAAAACTTGGATTGGTCAGGAATTTGAGAGTGAGACGTGGTACTTAAATTCGGTAGATTCAAGATATTTGGCAAGTTTGTGGCTACTCAGGGGGTGGGTAGTTAATGAAAATTTCAGGTTATTTACACGTGACCTTCTAGATTTGTTACCCTTATTATAAATCAAAATTACGATGCAATGATTTTTTTTCCTTTTCGGCATTATCTATAATGTGTTCTGTAACTTAATATAGTCATTTTGCGCTTGGTGACATAATTTGTACGTCTGTTGATCATTAAAAATTTATTACATGTATTTGGACGTGAGAACCACTTAAAAACACCCTTTCTTAGCGTTAACCAAACTAAAGGAGAACCATGAAGGTGAAACATTTCCTATCAAAAATAAAGAAAAAAATCAAAGCGATCAAGAACAAAAAACTTAAACTTCATGTTGATACTGAGGCTGAAACTGCAAGCACCAACAAACCCACTCTACCAACCGATTGTCTCGTCGAAATATTGCAATATTTAGTCGACGACAAAGCCACACTATTTTCCGCAGCGTTAGTAAGTCGAACCTGGTGTCGAATTTCTATTCCATTCCTATGGTCGTCTATTAACGTGAATCGCAACAAAACCAGCCTAATCGAGACTTTTATTAAATGTATGAATGATGATGAATGTGAAGCGGTATCTGAATATTTGAAGCCATCTTATCCGCCACCGCTTTTCTTATACACTTCGTATGTTAAAGAACTGGACTGGAATAAGGTGGATTATCTTTTCGTTGATAATCAGCAGGATCCAAGTAATAGGAAATCAATTTGGAAAAGCATTTTACAAATGGCAAATAAAGAGGAGAAAGAAAAGATAGTTAAGAGAATGATGACTCAAATATGTACACTTATTTTCAGAACCGCCACTAGCCTGGAAAAGTTTGTGGTTGACATACGTCGAACTCGGCGCGCTATACCGGCATTTGCTATGCTGCCTAATTGTTCTGCTATCTTTTCTCGATTGAAAGAAGTTCAGTTGATAGGATCCGCAGGTGTCATGTATTATGATGTTGCTTCAGTTTCGAGTCGAGAGATAATACGTCTGATGCAATCGGTTTCTTCTAATATCGGATCTTTGAAAATTCATTTATCCTTATATCATGGATGTATTGACGATCTCTGCGACCTAATCAAAATACAAAATCGGCTAGAGCACGTTAGTTTCACTGGAATTAACGATGACCACCTTCCCGTTATTCAAGTTCTACAAACCCAAGCGAAATGGCTAGTTAGTCTTGAATTCAAAAACACATGTATTTTCGATTCCATAATATCATTGCTAAGCAACCTTGGTATTTTCACGAAATTGGAGTCATTGATATTCAACGATTGTTATCCAAAGTATAATCTGCCTATTGTCCGAAAATTCGTATCTCAACCTCCAAGATGTCTACGCAAGTTATATATTGATTACAATTTCATTCAAAACGATGATGAATTTCTAGTCATGTTGATAGAAACTTCGGGAAGATACCTGGAGGATTTAATTATCATGAAAGATTGTTCAGAAACAATGTACAAAGCTATCGGAAAATATTGCAAGAGTCTTTTATCTTTGCAAATCAATCCCGCCAAGCTTGAAAGTTTATCATTATCTGAAGTAATTGCTAAATTACAAAATTTAAAACACCTTTCGCTTGTAGACCCATTTGGAATAAAAGGAACATTTCCTGATGAACTTTGGGCAGAATTATCACGAAAGTCAAGCAGCAATCTTTGTTCATTGCATTTCAACTACTCGCAAACAACTCCACGAGCATTAACGAATTTCCTCTCGAATCGTGGGGAACCGATAAAAGTTTTTGAGTTTGGTCGACACGTTCACCTTACTGATGAACACTTGTTGGCTATTCTTAATTATTGCAAAGAGAGGCAAGTTTTCGTAAAGATTTATTCGTTGCACTTTAGGCAAATGGAAAAATTCGATTCGTCTTTAATAAAGCAACTTGAAGAATGGGTGAGACTTGTCCCAAGGATTTGATGGGTGTATTTATTTCAAAAGTATCAGCAATTTATTATTCAGTATACGAGTCGAGATTCGGAATGTATATAACACGAGCTGCTACTTCCTCATTAACTTTATTACCATAATGATAAATAGTCAGTAAAATATATTATCCCCTTAATTTGTAAATTTATTTCAGCATATGTTATATATAATTACAATAATTAAAATCTGTATATATAATAAAACGCTCCAGAGAATTATTATTGCCGTAAAATCCTGTGAATAAGCACTCACTGAAAATAAACATACCTGGCCCGCATTATAATCATTTTGACCAGCATTGTTAATAATTTGGCCCCTTGCAATTTTATTCCAAAACAATAAAATAAGATTAAAATAACGATATTAATAGAATAATCAAAGGGATCAAACGAAACAGAATCAAACCCGATTCATCAACCTTGTATGAGTAAAGCCTTCGATTTTGTTACGCACAAAAGAATTAAAGCTTTCGAATTTGTTAAGACACAAAAGAAAAGAAATGTTAGGTAAGAGCGTCAAAATAATTTTTATTTATTCAAGCACACATTGACTTGTCTCTCAGTCCTTCGAGAGCTCTCCTTTATTTACAATTTGGTCACTACATAACTATCTATACTACAGATCGCAAGTCACTACAGAATTCGCGCCCCTAACGTACAAAGTATGAATTGTTGTAAGAATTTTTACAAAAAGAAGGGGGCATGACTATGCTTCAAAACAAGGAATAATAAATTCATTACATTATAAGAAAAATAAAGTAAAATTATTACAACACAAAATGTGAATTTTGGTATGAATTTTGTGAGGCAAAAAAAATTACGAACGTTTTGCTTCGTTCCAAAATTTTCGTAATCACAGGACTTTCGTTAATAAATAATAAAGATGACTGATAAAATTTTTACATGAATGATCTTAAGGTCTATCTCGACTAGCGAGTAGAATACGTTCATTAATTGTCGATTCTCAACTAGTACATGTACACTCCCGGTCAAAAGTGTCCGACCACTTTAAAAACCAGATAAAAATGCACAAACTTGAACAATTAATTTCTTGACAATTTATAAACAAACATTATAAAAAATTTATATCATTTTATTCAGAAAAACATGAATTTATTAATATCTAGTTGGATTTTCATGACTGTCTAATACTGCTTGAATTTTTCTTGGCAAACTTTCAACTAAATTTGTTAAAATTTCAGACTCAATTTTATTCCACTCCTCCAAAACTACCATTAATTCCACAATATTTTTTGGATGAGGTTTATATTCTCTAACCCTTCTTTACTCTTTCCAAAACATCTCACAAATGTTCAATTGAATTAAGATCTGGGCTCTGTACAGGTCATGAAAGACTTAATACCAAATTATTCTCTTTCCATTGATTGATTATTCTTTTCTATGTATTAAGACATTATCATCTTGAAAAATATATTATGAATTGTTTTCTAAAATATTATAAAATATTATAAAAGGATAAAAAAGTATTTTCTAATGTCTATATATATATAGAACCTGTTATTTTATCTGAAACTTGAATTAAAAAATCAATTTTATCTTTTATAAAATATCTTCATATCATAACTAGAGATGAACAAATATATATATAGTATATTATTATGCATACTATATACATAATATACTATTATATATATTTATTAATAATTATTAATATCACTTGATATTTCTAATATATTATCACTATTATCTGATATATTAAATTATTCATTATTATTATTATCTTAATTTATTTTTATTATTATTCTGATATTTACTTTCATTACTCTTATTTTCAACATAATATTAATTGATACTTATTTTAAAAATATACTTACTACATAACTGATTTCTTTTTTTATTATGAAATATTTGCAAAAGTTAATTAGTTATATTTAGAAATTGCAGATAATATTGGAATTATTAAGATATATTATACTAATTATATTAATTTAGATACTGTTTATGCAAAATTTGCAATCTATCAAGTAATTAAATCAATATTATTAATACATTTTCATATTAATATATTACTGAAAAAATCTAATTTTGCTTTGTATTATATAAGTTAACTTCTAGATAAATTAGTATTAAATAAACTTATATTAGCAATTTCTAGATTTTCAAAGCTTATATATCAAAAATGATATTTAACTTTAATTAAAATATTTAGATATATACACAGATATGATTTATATTAAATTACTAAATTATTATATTGATATTTGAAATTTTCACAATATTTATATTCTGCATATTATTGTTAAAATCCAGTAATATAACCAATTTAATTAAATATTTCTATATAAAACTTTAATAATAAAGATATAAATAATTATTATTATATATATATTTTATATTAGTATAAATATATTTATTATATATATATTTTATATTAGTATAAATATATTTATT